GATAGTGAAAGCAGGTTTTAATTTTTTTTTTCAGAGTCTTAGAACTGGTTTTCGTGAGGATAATCCATTATTGGTTGCATCCAAATTTCGTCTGGCGCCTGAGCAACTACTCAAAACAGTTGAAACAACTGTCAAATCAACTCCAAATTTTTGTTCAAAATGTAGGTGTTACATTTTTTTTTTTGTTTAAACTCTATTACTTCATTTAATAGATTGTCACTGAGAAGAAATCCCAATATCGGGACCACAAAAACGATCTATTTTTCTCAGGTACAGTTTTCTGTAATTCAAATTTTGTGTTCAATGATGACTTTAGAGGCAAAAACAAGGAAATGTTTCATTGACCACTTAATCCAAATGTCTGAAGATGATAACTGGCACGATCAAGAGCTTTTGGAAGAGGCCCAGACTATGGTAGTTGCGGGAAGCGAGTCTTTAGGGTCCGTCAAAAGCTTTACTTTGATTATGTTAGGAATGCACCCTTTGATACAGGTAAAAATAAGGTCAAACTCTCACAAATTACAAATTACATCCAGGACAAAGTTTACGAGGAAATCTACGATATTTTCGGTAATAGTGACAGAACCGTCACTGCTGATGACTTGACAGAAATGACATATTTGGAAATGGTCATCAAAGAAACCTTACGGTTATTTCCAGTGACGCCGGTGGTGGGGAGACGTGTCAACCAGAATATAGTAACTGGTAAAATTTGTTTTCTCAGTTGGCAACAATTATTTATGTGTTGGTAGACAGATACACACTACCCGAAGGTAGCGAATGTATAATCAGCATTCTGTACCTACATAGACACCCCAAAATTTGGACCAAACCTCTCGAATTCAACCCTAATAGGTTCCTCCCCGAAGAGGTGTCCAAACGCCACCCTTACTCCTACTTACCTTTCAGTGGTGGCCCCAGAAACTGCATCGGTAAGCCCAAACCAGCGCCTTCTCTCGGCCAATTCCTCTCATTTCAGGCTTCAAATACGCCATGATGGCCATAAAAACCGTAATTTCGACGATAATCCTCCGCTACAGGATTTCAACCGACTTCAAGTCTGTCTCCGAAATCGAATTCTCACCTGGAGTGGTCTCGAAAGCGAAAAAGGGCTATTTGATAAAACTGAAATCCAGGTGTTAATATTTTAATGTACATAGATTATAAATAAAATTAATACAAATTCTACGATAATATCTAACAAAACAAATAACATCAATTACGATCAATTGTGATAGTCTAAGAGCCCGCGGTCGCCAGACCTTCGTCATTTTATAAAAGTTGAAAATTTGTCAGCGCATACTACCAACACAGGTAGGAATAATGGGCAAGTATGAAGTTTGGGTCATCGTGACTTTGGGAGATAAAAGGTAGCAAAGAAGTAAAAAATATCAACTTAAATTTATCAATTAAAAAAGCGTAATTTTTTAATATTTTCTTCGGAATAATATTAGAAATCATCTCATCCATTGCCAGACACTTAATTTCGTCGCAACCCCTTGTCACACCCCTTTAAACATTAATGAATTGTGACTGTATTGTAAAAGCTGAATTTTATACATGTTACTTGGGTAACTATTAGATGATGTTTTCTCATTAGCCAGACAGTTTTGACAGTTCTAAGTGCTAAGTTCTAAATTTTAAGTAAAATAAATGTGATGCAGTTTTGACAAAGTATCATCATGGAAGGCATATAGCTACCCTATATGTTTGTCTGGCCCAGGGTAGAACTGTCGAAACTGTCTGGTTACTGAGAAAACATCTTCTAATAGTTGTCCCAAGTAAAATGTATAAGATTCAGCTTTTATAGTATAACGTAAGTACAGTTACAATTTATTAAAGTTTAAGGGTGTCTGAGAAGGGGTTGCCACGATATTAAGTGTCTGGCAATGCGTCTTTTAATAGGTTTTTTTTTTCAATATTTGAGAAATCTTTTTAGAAAAAAAATTCAAAATTTGGTACAGCTGATAACTTTTATAAACCTAAACAAGTACAAAAATAAAATGTTGAAATTTTTAATAAGGGGCTTCCTAAACTACATGGGATTAGGGTAAAAATTTATTCTAACTATTTTGCCTGTGGTTTCGTGCCACTTTCGTGCAACAAAATTTCATAGTTTTTCATATAAAGGGTATTGTGCGTTTTTCCGACACAATTTTCGGATTTTTAGTAAAAATCGGTTTAAAAATTTATGTTACAGACCATAAACAGCATAAAAATTAAAAATTTGTTTTACCGTTTAGGACGCCCCTGATTATTTTGTTATTTGGCATTTGTTTAGGTACCAAATTATGTAATTTTATCTATTCTGAAATAAATAGGAAAAACCCTTTAAAAAACGTACCTCATTTAGGGGGTGTAGCTCTCTTTCATAGCATTTTTCGAAACACTTTTGTCTTAAAATTAAAGATTGTATGAAGTATTTAAATTTGTAAGTACCTAACAATAAAAATGAAACACTGTATAATTAACACATGAAAAATTAATTCACAAAAATTTAAAATTAACTCAATAAAATAACAAACAATTTTTTTTTAACACTTATAACACTATATAACAAAGTGCTCAGCATTTCGGGGGGGGGTTTGAACTCCCTAATCCTCCCCCTTGGGTACGGCCCTGGTGCTCGTTATGTAATATACTATTAAGTTTATTTATTTATTTAATATAAAAAATAGGCGCCATCCGTGTCCTCACTGTTTCTAATACAGTCACTGTAACTCAACCAAAAAGCCCAACTGTTTTTAGTCGAAGTTAACTCGATTGTGATTGTTCTCAATCCTACCAATCAGGATTAGTCACATGACCGAAAAATTTCACAACTATTTATTTCTGTTGGAAATATAATTTTTCAAGTTTTTTTGCTACAGGCTATTAGAAGAGGAAACAAGGAAGCTGTGTCCTAAATTGTATCTCTGTTTAATGTTATTTATGGCTTTTATTGGCAAAATTTTTGTGCCTTTATTACATAATTATAAAAAAACATATAAATACAATATCATCAGTATCATTAAATAAACATAAAAAAATGTCAAATGTCAAAAAATAAATGACAAATTTTTTAACAGATTGAATTTTTTAAACATTTTGTCCATGTTTCTGGTATCGTATCTTACATGAAATTTATCTCTGGGGCGCGACTTCTGGAGCACCCTGTATAGAGAAACTGTGCGGGATGTTGCAAATTCCGGTCAAAAACAAAATCCAAGCGTTACATTTGTTGTTTTCGTTGTATGCAGCTGTCAAAAGTTCGCAATTGTTTAAAAATGGCCAACTTGAGAAAGTTGAAGAAAGCGAGTCGGCGAGAAATGTTGCTGATCAGTTAGTGTTGGATTAGGAAACACCCGGTATAATACTGTACGGGTTTTATTAAAATTGTATAAGTTAAATGAATTAAGTCATTATAATAAACAAATTATTTGAAATAAAGATAATTTCCGTTTAGGCTTGATCTAGAAAAACAAGGTTTATAATTCTTGTAACTTATTTAACAATTAAAATAATATTTTGTAAACAGTAATTAAAACTGTTTACTAAACTTTAAATCGCTGATTTTAATTTTTATTTTAATTTTAATTAGTAATTTTGCCTTCGGGACGTAAGATAGAAATACGACACAAAAAATACCAGGTGTCAAGTTTTATTACACCTTTTTTAATTTTTTTAGTTATTATAAAGTGTTTACATCACAGACAAATAAACTAAGAAATTTATTTGTCAACAAGAAGACTCCAAAATAACGATCACACCAGAAATAAACAAATCAAATTTCAAAGAATTGTTTACTACACCTTTTTCAAGTGTAATTCAGAATCCATCACACGTAATTCCGATTAGTCAATTTAGTTTCAGAAAGCGTAAATCGTAATTTAGATTACTCAATTGTCTTTCAGAAAGTGTTAATTGTAATTCATGTCAATGAGTTTCAGAAACCATGAGATGTAATTCAGATTAGTTAATTTCGTTTATGCTTTGTGAAATTAAATTCAGAAAGCATAAACTGACATTCAGATTAGTGAATTGTATTTCAGAAAGTATTAATTGTAATTCAGAACAGTAAATTCAATTTCATGTTACATGTAATCCAGAAAATATCAATTGTAATTCAAATGAGTAACTTACTGTTGTCTCAAAACGAAGTTTACATATAAACACGAATTATTTTATTTTCAAAATTAAAGAATTACATAAACTTGGTATTTTACAAAATAAATAAGATAATTTTTGATTTTAATAATGTAATTTTTAATTGAAAATAACGAATTCTCAATTACAATTGATAAATTATCAATTACAAATAACAGACTCTAAATTATAATTAACACTTTCTGAAATACAATGGACTAATCTGAATTCTAATTTACGCTTTCAGAAATTAAATTAACTAATTTGAATTACATCTGATAGTTTCTAAAATACATTTTAGTGTTTTGAATTACAATTAACACTTTCTGAAATTCAATGTACTAATCTGAATTACAATTAACGTTTTCTGAATTATATCTTACGCTTTCTGAATTACTCTTGAAAAAGGTGTAGGCATTAAAAAAAGACTAGCTTTTGCCAAAATAACACTTAGTGAATAATAATAGAAGCAATTTTATTTAAATTTATATAAATTTAAATAAATGTAAGAGTCAGTTTCATAATCGAATTTAAAAGAGCATTAAATTAAATGTTGTTTAGGATATGCTGATTACTACAAATTTGTTGGCAAAAATTTCACATTCTAATTTTGTTATGAAATCGACCTTAAATAAATTAAATAAATTTAAATAATAAGGCTTAAAAAATATGATTTAACAGTTTTTGGATACTTTTGGCTATTTATAACACTGACTTCAGTTTTTAGCAAGTTTTTTTTGGAAAAATTAAAATTATGTTCTTTTTTAAATTCTTTTGATGAGTAGGTTATACATTTACATCAAAATATAATTTTGAGAAAAAAATTCCCAGAAAAGAAATTTTCTTGTGTTACTTTTGTGTAATAAAATTTTAAAGTTGCGATTTTATTTATTTTACAAAAAAGAAACAGCTCAAGTACTAAAGTTTTTGGTGCAAATTTCGATATGTGTCGCACAAATGAAAATATTGCAGTTCTAAAATGTGCTGAATACGAAAATAACACAATATAAAAAAACATAATTTTTTCAGAATTTTTTGCTCAAAATTAAATATGTAATGATGTATACGTTGTAATCTACACCCATCGAAGAGAATATGGAAAAAAAAAAGAACTTCCTAGATGTATCCAAAATGAAGATACAAGCATGTAAACACAAAATTTGTCAAGATTTGATAATTTTTTGGGAGGAAAAAATAAAAAAGCAAGTATTTTGGGCCACACTTGGATGGTAAATACTTCATGTGTCCTTTAAGTGTTAAAATTTGAAAAAATGTGTATAGGAAATTGATTTTTAACTATACAGCGTGTCCTAAAAATAAGTTACAATACAAACTTATGTTTTTATATAGACAACTTAACAATCTATTAGATGCAAAAATACAAGAAATAGGGTGTTTCATTTTAACTTCAACAATTTTTTATTTTTACAAATGCAAAACACTAAAAAACTGTAATTCTTTGTAGCAGTAAAACACTATTTTCTAGCCCTCTAAGTTTTTGTGTTTAAATTTAAAAAAAAAATTGTTTTCGTCAAAAAAAACTTATTTCAAAAACTAAGCAATAAAAGTTTAACTTAAAAACGTTGTAATAAAAAGCTACATCCAAAAATACAAAGCAACATATATGGTATTTCATTAAAGAAAATGTAAGTTTGAATTGTAACTTATTTTTGAATCACGCTGTATAGTTAAAAATAATTTTCTGTATAATTTTCAAAAAAAATTAACAATGAAAAAAAAATTATGGACACCTGTATACAATTTGCTTTATAAAAAAATATAAGCATTGCATTTGTAAAAATTTATCCCTCAGCCCAATACCAGTCAAACCACATTGCAAAAACCTGACCCACCTCCACCACTTCCCTCAAGGGTATAAAAAGTTTATTTTACACAGAACTCGTTTTAATAGAACAAAATGCAATCGACAACAATGTTAGTGGTTTTAAGCGTCTTCATAGCTGGCATTTATTTTCTCGCGGGTTATTTTTCAAAAAAACAGAAACTTTTGCGGTTCCACGCATCGAAACTCGAAGGCCCCCTAGCCTTACCCCTGATCGGAA